AAAGGTCTTGCCAACAAGTTAAGAGTCAGAGTTGAGTTTGTTTGCAGAGTTTTGCCAAAGTCTTCTGCCACTTTATGAAGCAAAATGGAAAAATATCTTTCTGATCCAAGCCGTATTCAACAAAGAAACATTTCAGCCAATGTTCTTGTAATAGATGAAGAGCTGGGGAGCTGTTGAGGGGTCTTTTTCGATGGGGTTGGTTGTTTTTTTTTCTTGAGGTGCATTGTTTGAGGTCACCTCTTTGTCTCTACAACTTCTGCTCATTCAGAGGGAAATGTCTTGGTGTAAGGTACTTGAGATGAACATAATGCTTTCTAGAACCTGCTTTTCATCTCCTTGTTCTTCCAAGTTTTTTTTGTGTCAAGTCCCATGGCTGTGTTTTTTAATACAGGAACTGACATTGCCTGTGTTAGCTTCACATTTTATTTTCTGATATATAACAGCCATACAAGCAAAATGCCCTTTTTTTGAGCAGGCATTGCTGATCATTTGAAAGGAAAGAAAAATCTAATCTGGAGCTCGTAAGAAATATGAAGCAACAATGACATTGGGCTATGGAAACCTCTTCATGAAATCTTCAGATACATTATTTATGTTGCAAAGTCATTTGTTAAAGAAGAGTTAAACAAGATGGAGATCAGTGGGGATCTGTAGCTCTCTACCATTTTATCTTTGAACATCTTAATGATGGAAAAGTTCGCATATTTTCAGAATTACTTGCCTCTTAGGAAAAAATTATAGCCTTAAACTAGTAACTTAGAATTATTTTTGATCACAAATAATATTCTGTGTCTAAGTGGTGCATAATAGTTCATCATTTCACTGTACATTAATGCACAGCTACTGTGAAAGTGACTATAAAATGTCTGCTTTGAGGTGACTGCTTTATCGTGTTTTGTCATCTTATGCCACATCCCTTAAAGCTTCAAATAATGTATAGACTAAATATATTAATAGCAAGTTTTAAACTGCATTTTTTTTGAAGATTGCACTTAACAACATTTTTAAGTGTGATGAAGTGCCTTAGTTTATATGGAGTGTTATAAAATCTTTCATTTATTGTACTAAACCTTTATGGTTGAGCAACTAACAGCCTCTGCAGAGAAAATACTAAATCAGTCTGGCTGTAATTTGTACATCGCACTCAAGAGGGAAATTTACCTTGTGCACAGATATTCAAAGGCTTCTACTTTAGGCCTATTATTTTATAGGCAATGTCAGAAAGCTAATTTTTTTTTTAACAGAACTGTAATTTTTACTTGGTTTAAATTTAGTTCGGTCACTTATAGCTACTTTTGAAGTGGTCCTGGCTCAATTTTTAATAGCTGGTTTTTTTGGTTTTTTTGTTGTTTGTTTTTTTTTTTTTGAAAAAGTAAAGGTAAATCAATAAATCTTAAGAAGAAGTAAATTATAACTAAGATTCAAGTTATTTCTGTGCTGCCATGGATTGTAATTTGCTTGCTTGTTTATGTTGACTTAATGCAAACTGTACATAAGGCATAACAGCAGCAGGAAGAAAAAAACAGAACAATTTCAGACTTATAGAGAAAATAAGAAAAAAACCCATGAGGTTCAGAAAACATTTAACTATTCATGATTTTTATAAGCTTCACTTATTTCTTTATATGTTATTACTATTTCTTCCTGCATACATTTCTGAAACCAGGCAGGATGTTGAAATAAAGGTGCACTCTCTTTGGCTTGCTGAATGAATCCTGTACCTGCCATTTTTACAAATCATACTGTTTAGATTGAAACCTTTTTGAGTAGAAGTGAAAGTAGTTTCAAAGACTTCAGGATGTGGATTTTGATGCCTCAGTTGAATTTTGCTAGTTTTGCTGCATTCCAGTTTGTAGATCGCAATTATTACCACCAAACTTGCACTCTTGCAAATGTGTATACTGGTTTTGTCTTACATGTTTTGCCTTCCTTGATGGAAAGATTCCTTGAAATAAATGAACTTTTTTAAGTGTACCTGGGCTTCCTTGGCTTGTACATGTGATTTTAAAAAGCACTGTTTCATTTGTTCAGTCACCTTCGTTGTCACAGCTGCAGCCAAGGGATGATTTTCCTTTTCCTCTAAGGTAGCTTAACTGATTTGACTACAGAACTGTATTTTCACAAGAGCAAATGCTCTTAGCTGACACTCCAGTGGATGATGCAGGCGTTGTAGGCACGTGCAATAGCAAATTGTCAGGATATTTTCAAGTGTTTCCCCCCCCCCAATCCCTTTCACCATTCCTGTGGTCATTCTTCACCTGGGACTGTCTTGACTGTAGTGTACTATGCTGATCACACTTTTGTGGTTGATGTATAAATTAATCTCTTGGAAGATGCCTTAGGTAAATGTGTAGTTAAAAGATTTGTTGCTTGTTGGAGCAGTGGGCACCAGGGATGACTTGAGATGAGCTGCAGAAATACATGTATTTCTGTAAGGGGAAGAGAAGGAATGGGATCTCCTCCTTTTAGCATCAGAACTTGTTACCTTGTTTGAATGATTTAAGGTCAACTTCAAGAATTTTCAAACCTTCCCTCCATCAGACTAGAAATGGAAAGACTTTCAAACAGTTTGTTCAGCTGTCTTGACTCTGTGTATGTGACAGAGAGAGGGAGATTGAGTCAAAACCAGAGCTTTTAGACAAAACAAGTGGCTGCTCTGTGTTTGTGTAAACCACAGAGGCTTGAGGCAATCTTTGAGAAACCCAGAGAAGAAAACTACTTAGCGTAATATACGGCTGTGTCAAAATGATGCTGTTTTCATAGATTGCTATTTCTGTGTTTTAGTTTTATCTTATTCATTGTGTTTTGAAGTACTAATGCTTGTCAGTAGATCATAAATTTTATGCGCTGGAGGAAAGAGGTGGGGGTGTGTGTTTGGTTTATGGTTATTGGAAAGGTTATCTGAAAGATGTAGTGGATCGGAAAGAAATATCTCAGTGGCAGTTTTAAGTTATCCAGCCTGAAGATGTAATTGGTGTAAGAAGTGCAGGTACATGTTGGATCTGCAGGATGCATTTGGTAGAGGATCAGAATTTGAAGTGACTAGCAGAAGTTGTGGGGTAATCTGACAGAGGGAATAAATTTCCAGGACAAGATGGTGTGTGCTGGAAAGCATTTAGGAGAACTTGGGGATGAAAAAGTCAAGTGATGAATGTCTTAAGTCTTGCTTAGAATGAACTTTGATTTTTGAGGACTGGAGGGATGGTAAATACTAATTTTTAAAGTGCATCACAGATTTAGGGGGTCTACACGGTTCCAATTCTGACATTTGTGTTGAATAAATCGGTAGAATTTATAGTAAATATACAGGATACCTGGATAAAGACAGAGGTACCATGGAAAATGTGCATCTTGTGTAATTGGGAAGCTCTTCCCCACAAACCTTTGGAGTTCTTCAGAGTTGGCACAATATTTACAAGGATGATCCAGTTGATATAATGGGACAGAGCTGCTTTTCCAAAAGGTGTTTCAGCCCCTTGCCAAGGGCATTTGAGTAGAACAGTATGTCAGCATGAAATGGAGGATCAGTGTATCAACAGCTAACTTGCTCAAGGATAGGAGGTGGGTGTGGGAGTAAATGGTTATCCTTCTCAGTGGAGTCATGGAGACCTGTAATGCACAGCACATTTCTTATTGACCTGTAAAACAGCATGAGTAAGGGGTTGACGTAGTTGGGTGAGTTTATTGATGTAATAAGGGTGAGAGTAAAGTGAAGAATTTTGGAAGAAGTTCATGACACTACATGGACAATAAAATGGCAGCAGCAGCACATTGTAGAGAAAATGAAAATTGTATTGGGGATGAAAACAATTCTGGTTTAATACATAAGGGGATGGCCACTGAGCTGACCAGAAATCTAGGATTTGCTAGGAAAATAGTAGGAAACAGGACATCATTATTCCTCTGTGTAGGTTTGTGACTTGTCTGTGTGTTGAATGCTGTTTCAGTTCTGGTGGTCTTACCTCACAATTTTTTGCAGAGTAATAACACTGGAAAGATCTCAAAAATAATATTAAGGTGACAGAAATTACATTTGTGTGAAGAATAAGTAAAACATGCATCTGGCAAGAGACATGTAGGTTTCTACATAGTTACACGTGGTAAAGAGAGTAGGTAGGAATTGGTTACTGTGTTTCCCTGTAAGAAGTGGGGAGCATCAAATAAAACTAGCAGGAGCTGTTTTCAGTACGAGATGAGGCATTGTTTATGGAATGGAATATTGTGCTGCAAAGCCTTTTGTAAGGAGTGTTGCAGATGCCAGAATTTTACATGATTTAAAAAGAAAGTAGGCTCCTTTTTTTCAATAAGAATTATGTCCTGCTAAGTAAGAAAACATTCAGCTATACAAAGTATTTCCTGCCTTGAGGATAGTGTGCATCTGCAGACAGCTGTGATTGGAGGATGGGGTGGTGGGAAGATGGGCCCGATGCAGTTATTTCAGTGGAAGAGGGAGTTTGTGGTTGTGTGGTCCCTTAAGAGAAGAAGGATAGATAGGAGTGCTTGCTGACCTTATTTGCAGATGTTTTAAAGAGACTGCATTTAGGAGTAGGAGGAATGTGTGAAGGAAGGCTGGGAAAGGTGGCACAACCCAGGAGCAGTGTGTGTGGCAGAGGGTGGCAGCAGGGGAAATGGGAAACAGGCAATATGCTGCCTGGTTTTGAAAAACCAAAATGGGTATAGAAGAATGTTGATTGTACAGATTGGTTCTTTAATGCTTCATTTTTTAGTATACAAATTCTGATGTTTTGTTATGATAGTCCTAGATGGATGTACTTTCTTTCAATTGTAAACTAGATAAGCTTGCATGATATTTGGGGTATATAGCATAGAAAATAGTCTTTTTCTCCATAATATTTAAGCAGTGCTGTTGTATACACCTCAAGACCATGAGCTAGGCGTTGTAGTTTACTATACATGCTGTTAAAAATATTTACACCTGAAGTGTAAACCGCAGCAAATATTTTTTTCCTGAACTTATTCTTGTCTGGTTTTGTTTACAGGATTCTGAGTAACAATAAAATAACAGAGTTGAAGAATGGTTCCTTCTTTGGATTACACCTTCTTGAAAGATTGTAAGTGCTTCTTAAAAATGTATTTTCACTTTAAAAGTTAAGTGATATACTGTTTGTTCTGTTAATAATTCTGAGAAGGAAATGTCTTAAAGAAGAGATGTGTTCTTTATTTTGATGGGGATTTTTGTGGTTGATGCACAGTTAAGTATTCTCTTAATGAATATGAATGACATGTAACAGCCAAAAAAGGCATAATCTCACCTGCAGGTGAGAGCAGTTTGAGTGGGAAGGTCACTGGAATGCTATGACGAATGGATTTGCTTTGGTGGTGGTTTCGTAATACAAAAACTTATGTTGTGAAGAAAATTACTACTTTAATTTCTTTTCTTACGAAGTGTCAAACCCTTTGTCAAGCAGCTGTCGGGGAAGCAGATACATTAGGGCCTCTAAAAGAGGCGAAACCGATTACAAGTTTGTTGACATTTATTTTAGGACTTCTGCTGCTTGCTTCATACTGAATGTACAGGGGGATGGGAGGGAGTCTGATGGGAGTAACATCTTGAATATCTTCTGCTTCCTGTTTTTACTTTTCCTTTCAGATGATATATTGCCTACGGGGTGAGAAGCAGCATTGTAGCTTCTGTTACAGTCAGCTTTTTTCTAGCTGGTAGAAGGTCAGGATTGGCAGGTTGATCTACCTGGGAACAAGCATAAACTTTAGAGATAAGGATTTTTCTAGGCCATTTGACTGGGAAGGTAGCCAGTTTCATAATCATCTCACAGCATCTAGGAAGAGTTCCAAATGACTTCTGGCTTCGGGGGATTAAAAGTATTTTATTCTTCCTCTAAAACTTGAAGGCTCCAATCCCAGTCACCTGGCTTAAATAAATTCAAACACTTCCACCATTCCATCTCCCACATACCAGAAGAAAGATTTGTCACTGCACTGGCAGATGAGCTTTATGGTAGAAGTAAGCCATAGTGCCAAGGAAGCAAGGTTATCAGCAGTGATGGCATTTGCTTAGGTAATAAAGGCATCTGCTGACAGTTGTTAATTGTTGAAACTCATTACAGTTTTCAGACAGGAAATACTTGAAACTCTAGTTAGTTTGGGATGATAATTTGTTTTCTCCGTGAGTCCAAATCTTAATTTGCTTTAAAATCATAAGAATGCAGCATTCTTTTGTTCAACTCCTGTCCTTTGTAAGGGATTTTTTTTTTTAGGTTCTATTAGTATCTCTCTTCATAAAAAGGAAAAGAAAGCAGGAAGGCAGGCAGCATGTTTTGAGCATTTAAAGTGAGCTGGGATAGCTGTATTCTAGAGGGTAGGGTGGTCACATCTGAAAGAGATAACACACTTTATGTACACTGGTGTAGGAGTTAGTGCATCTACAAAGGATCAATAATGCCAGGTGTCTTCAGCATAAAGGGAGGGATAACTAACATCATACCCCAGTTATTAATGATCTTTTTGTATGTGCAGGACTTATTTAAAAGCAATGGATATTTAGCCATAGTAAAAGTAAATTTTTCTCCTTTAAAAGCGCTTGTGACTTGGACAGAAACTACTATTGTAATGAAAATAACGTTTCAAATTTAAATGGATAATCAATAATAAAAGGAAAAAGAGTTGAAAGCTGCAGTAACTATTTTAAACATTCACATTATGTTCAGCAGTTGCAGATTTTCCTTAATGTTCATTGTGATGACTTGCATGACTTGAAAATTGTACTTTTTTTGACAGTTTCTTGCTTATTTTTATTTTGTATTGCTACTCATACTTCCCCTTGTTTCCTTCTGAGTGTTTTCTCTCTTTGTAGAGAAAGTTCTTTTCCCACCTACACTTAAGAGTTGAAATGGAGATAACAGAAATAAATTCACTCAGCATTTAAATAGTTAATTCAGACAGTATCATTGTCACTTAACATTATTGCTTACTAGGGAGAGATTCTGTATGCATTTAATGCTCTTTTGTTCATTACTTCTGAAGTTACATTTGGCAGCAGAAATATTTGCCATTTCTCCTTAGTAGTGTTTAGATGTATTGATAGATTTAACTGAGATAACAGAAATAAATTCACTCAGCATTTAAATAGTTAATTCAGACAGTATCATTGTCACTTAACATTATTGCTTACTAGGGAGAGATTCTGTATGCATTTAATGCTCTTTTGTTCATTACTTCTGAAGTTACATTTGGCAGCAGAAATATTTGCCATTTCTCCTTAGTAGTGTTTAGATGTATTGATAGATTTAACTAAAGCCTTTAAAAAAGTAAATTAATATGTCAGGAACAGGTACCTGCATAATAGTTAGATTGAATGTTAGGAATCACAACTTTGTAGTTCATCTGTTAACATACTAAACTTGTTTTCTCCTGTTTTGTTCTTGGACATTTTAATGAAAATGTGCATATTTTTAAATGGTTTCTGTTATTTTATCAATTCTTCAGGTAAACTTGGGGATATGGTATCTGCAGCTGGCAAGTTGTTGCACTTTAGATTATTGTTTTACTCAAACATGTTATTTCTTGACCTTATTCTCATCTGACAGTTCTTCACTGTTAGGTTTGAAAGGGAGACATTGTTTTATTTGGGGCTTGTATCCCCCATAACTATGGGGAAGTGCATTAAAAAAGGTGGTCCCAAGTAATGATTTCAAATCTGTTTGTTAATGATTTTGTGTATATATGTTAATTTATGAAAATGCTGATTTCTTAATGTATTATTTTGTAAACAGGGTGATACGTTTACCAAAAATAAGAGTTTTGTTTTACTGGAGGGTTAAATGTTTGTTAATGATAGTACAAAATGACTATGCTATGTCTACATCTACTCTTACAGGAAAAGAGCATGCAAATAACAGTAATCAGGACAAAGAATTAACTGCCTTAAGTGATAATTAAAGTGTCTGTACAAAAAGATGCTAAATATTTTAATCTCTGCTGACTTTGTTATGCTGTGTTTTGATATTAATTTGAAATTCAGCAAAGCCAAGTGCAGGGTCCTGCACCTGTGGAAAAATAACCCCAAGCACCAGTACAGACTTAAAGCTGACTTGCTGGAAAGCAGCTCTGTGGAGAGGGACCTGGGGTTCCTCGTGGATAATAAGCTGTCCATGAGCCAGCAGTGTGCCCTTGTGGCCAAGTCTTCCGATGGTGTCTTGGGGTGCATTAGGAAAAGCAATGCCAGCAGGTCAAGGGAGGTGATCCTGCCTCTCTACTCAGCCATAGTGAGACCACATGGAGTGCTGTGTCCAGTTCTGGGCTCCTCAGTATGAGAGAGACATGGAGCTCCTGGATGGATCCAGTGAAGGGCTGTAAGGATAATTAAGGGAGTGGAGCATCTGTCTTACAAGGATTGAGTGAGGGAGCTGGGCCTGTTCAGCCTTGAGACAACTGAGAGGGGAATCTCATCAATCTCTCTACAAGTATCTGAAGGGAGGGTGTCAGAAGGATGGAGCCAGGATCTTCTCCATGGTGCTTAGCAATACAACAAGAAGCAACAGGCAGAAGTGATGCACAAGAAGTTCCACCTGAATATAAGGAAGAGCTTTATTGTGTGAGTTATTGCACTCTAGAACAGATTGCCCAGAGAGGTTGTGGATTCTCCCTCACAGGAGTTACTCAAGAACTATCTGGACACAATCCTGTGCCATGTGCTCTAGGATGACCCTGCTTAAGCAGGGAGGTGGGATCAGATGAACCACTGTCATCCTTTACTGACCCATTCTGTGATCCTGTGAAACATAAGAATTTGGTCATAAACATCTGTTGGATTTGCTCACTAAAATCTACACCCCATAGAGATGTGGGAAGAATAGGCTGACTTAGTGTCGTGTGTAACATATCTGTAATTTCTTACTTTGTCTTTTTCCTTCATTTCCTTCTTGAAAAAGCATTTCATATAGGAAGAGTCTATGCCAGCTAATGTGTGTTCTGTCTGACATTGATTTTCAAGTTGTGTTAAGGAAGAGAAGACAACTTAGCCAAAAGTAGATGAGAAAGCTAAATAATGTATACATGTCAGTATATATAGAGATGCATAGTTTGTTTGTGCCTGCAGGTTGCTTTATTAATAATTAAGACAGTCTTCATTGTGCTGAGACAGAAAGCAGTAAATTTTTAAGTATGTATATGTGCACTTTTAAGTCATAGACAACTGGCTAATGAAACATTTCATTATAAAGCCTAATGAAATTAAAGGGTTTTTTTATACATGGCAAACCATAGGTAAATTTAAGTAATCTTTCATTAAGATGTTTTTCACATCTTAACAAGAACATTAGGGGCAGTGTTGAAGCTCTTAAAAATATTTTTGTTTGTTGGTAAGCTGCTATTTGCCCATTTAGTCAGGTATTTGATAAAGGGCTATTCCAGTTGGACACAACGATATCTTTCACAATGAGAATGGTTAAACAGTTGTGTGACAGTGAAATCTGCATCCTTTGTGGTTTTCAGGGTTTTACTAGACAAAAGAGTGGGGCAGTTGGTCTGATTCAGTTGTACTCTGAGCCAGAAGTTGGACCTCATGACTGACCTCAAAACATCCCTTAAACCTAAGTTTTTTTTATCATCCTAATGTCAGTTAGTCATCTTCACTGATAAATATGGGGCTTCTGCAGTGCTGCCTAGATTCAGGAGGAAATTAAGAATTTTTCAGTAGATTCTCAATGTAGGGCTGGTGTACTGCCTGGCCTGTGGGGTTTGTCTTTATTATTTAGCAGTATTTTTAATTGCTAGGTGAAAGATGTAGTTACTCTAGGATAAAAGGTGTTACCCTAACTCAAATCCTCTTGTAATGGGTTTCTTTTGGACAGATTTTCTTCAATTTGAACAAATAAATAGCTGTATCTCATTGCTTGAGCTTTGCCAAAGAGAAGTTATTAAAACCTATGTCTGAGATGATTAATTTTGTGTTGCCAAAACTAAAATGTACTTTGTATAAATGTATTTATAAGTGTTTAAAACAACAAGAACTTTAAAGCCAAACACAGCTTTCTGATGAGATTGTCTCCCCTACCTCCCTTTTATGTGAGAGTCATATCAGTCTGTTGGTTTAACCACAACTGTCAAGTTCTTCATTTAGAAACTGTCCTAGATGTTGGAGTCTTGGCTGTTGTACCAGCCTGTGGATCAACATCTTTTACTGTTTCTGAAGAGCTGTCAGACATGTCAGCACTGTTAATTTCAAGATCTTTAGGTATCTTATTTCACAGTTTTTCTCTACTAATACTTTTTGATAGATGATTTCCCCTGGGAGGGGTAAGAAAACCCCAGAGACTCCCCAGCTGTTGTAGTTGCAGTCTGAGGAAAGTCTAACTACTTTGAACTACTAACTGCTCTAACACTCTGAACATTTGTATATATTAACCCATTGCAATGGGTTTAAAACAGACCTATATCAGGGAGTATCCTTTGGATTTAAGGAGTGAAATTAAAGATCACCAATAGTCTAGACTAGTGCATTTCCAAGGCATGTTGCCAAAGTTTTTATCCCTAAGTGTTTTCAACAGTGAGATTTTAAGTGGGAGTTACATGATTTTAAGCCAAAATTTAAAATGTGAACAGTTAAGTATAAGTTTTCTTCCTTGCCCCAAAGACTGATGGGAAATAAGTAGTGAATAACATTTAGCATTCTCAGATTTGTCATGGTCTGGTACTGTGTTTATAAGCCTGAAAAAGTCAGTTCTTCAAGCTCCTGATACTGCTTTGTAAGTAGCTTGCAGTTCCTGCCACCACAAGGCAAGAAAATAAAGTTGAGATAAGAGAAGTGTGTGTTTGAAAATTAATTTACTGTACTGCAAGGTAAATGTTAAGTATTTCAAGTACTTAAAATGTCTATTAGGTACAGCATTCAAGTGTGATCCACGTGCCATGACAGTCTGTTGTACTATGATTTGTTAATCTGTCTGCAAGAAATGCTGTTGTGAAATCATGGGATGGATTATATATTCACTCATGCAGATCTGTGTGATGGTAGATGTAATCCTCTTGTACTGTTCTCTTTCAGGCAGAATTATTAATGTTGTGGTAGATTTAAGAGACATTTTTTTCTATTCTTGCATATTAAAACATTGCTTTTGGTTGAAATTGCTAATTTTCTTTTCAAGTGCAGATTGTTTGGATATTACCAAGGAGTGAGAAATTGCATTTGTAGTAATATGTGCCTGTGAAGTTTCAGATAGTAGTATAGTAAAAATCTTGGCTGAATAAGGAGGCAGAAATAATTTTAGCACTTGTGCAGTGATAAAGTTTGTTCAACACCATATAGGTGCTGCCAGCTGCTTTCTGTGACCTTTCAAATTGAGCTGTATCTGCAGAATATCTCAAGTTAGGAGTTAAAACACCTCTATCACTTGTACAATTAACAAGGCAGTTTAATGTCATAGTTACCTCACATTTCTCCTTAAAATCTCTGGAAGCTTAAGATCCAGAAATCTGCTCTGAAGTTTTTTCACCACCTTTATTTTCAGCCAGGGGTTTACCTTTGTGCCAGCAACACAGATGGAAATTTTCCATGTGGCCTTTGGTGTATTTTTAGGATCATGTTTTGCTTCTTTTGGTAGATGTTGGACTCTACTGAGGTATTTAAAATTGGATAGGCTAAAGAAGACAACATTGTGCTAAATGATATTGAGCATGTAATAATCAAATGTCATGCCCTGCATAGCTCTAATCTATTCAGACATTGCAGCAAAGTATCTTTGACTCTATAGCCTTTCATATGATAGGAACTGATTGAATATTTGAAGGACTACACATGCTGTTCCTGTTCCTCCTTATAGTTAAAATACAGATTTTCAAATTTTGAAAGATGTTATGTGAGGGAAACTAAAAAATGTGTTTGGGTTTTTTTGGAGGTTGAGAAAAGTTAGGTATATCTTCATGCATGTATCTGTTTTAAAGTGTATTTTATGGTAAATGTAATGTCTTAATTTTTTTCCACAGGGATCTTAAGAATAACCTTATTAATACTATAGATCCAGGAGCTTTTCTGGGGCTTTCATCTCTGAAAAGACTGTAAGTAGTATATCTAGCTAGTCAGTTAAAACAAACAAAAAAAACCCTGAGAGAGAGTTAAGTCTTAGGTTCTGGAAATTCAGACAGCCAGCCTATTATATATTAAAAGTTGAATATATATATATATGCTGTCTAAATTTAAACACACATGTATGTATAAAACAAAGTCTGCTTTTAGTCTTACGACTGAAGAACATCCGCTGCTTGTGGCTTGGCAGTCTCCCTTGGCCTTGACAGTCTTGTGTTACTCCTCTCTTTTTGTGTTTCGGTGGTTTGAAATATCACTGGATGAACGTTTATTCAGAGCTTTGATGCCATCAAGTTTTGTTTTATTAAATGCTAAACTCCTCATGGGTGTCTTTTTTTCCAAAGGTCATAGTGGAACATTGCGTCCCTTGCTATTAATACGACGCTGAAGTTACAGCTCTGTTAATGCTGCTTTATTGAAGGTTGTGCCAACATTCCCATTAACACATTTTTGGGGGATTTATGCCTTGACTGTAAAAGTTCTGTACCAGATGAAACTTGAAAAACAAGACCTTGGCTTGATGGCTTTTCTTTGCCTGTCTTTTCTCTCCCTTTTTTTTCTTTTTTTATTTTTTCCTCTTTAAACACTCTTCACATTTTGGACTGTGACAGGTTTTAAGTCTTAGTGACTTTGCCACTACCTCTCCCCCATGGCTTTAGTCAGAATTTTCCTTCTTCAATATAATATGTATGTGCATTTGTCACTGTTCAGATAATCTGGTTCACTTAAAAGGAAATTGTGGTGGTTACTGCACTTTGGCAAGCCTTAAAAATAATACTGAAGGACCGATTCTGGACCATTACTACTTGCAAGCTTAATTTTTAGTCCTTGAAGAATTTTTGGCAATTTGATTTAAGACCTACATTGAATGATATATAATATTTAAATATTTATCCAAGTATAAATATAGAAGTGGTCCTATTTATGTGTAATAAATGCACTAGTATAGGTCTTTGGCGTGTTAAAAAATTAAGTGATGTAGGACTTGTGATGAATATACTGTATAAATATGAAAATTTACAGGCTGAGCCTGTTTTAAGGGAATTTACTGGTAATGCTAAGCTTGTTGAACTGTATATGGGGAAACTAACTATTTAAGAAATGGATTAAGGAGTTTATGTGCATGTGTGTACACCCAGATAGCAGTACCTTGTGGGCTTTGCTGGAAAAGACTATATATATGGTGCAATGTGTTAATGAATTTTAGTTTGAGTACTCTGTTAACAGTCTGTATGTCATTTGCAAATAAACCAGTTTATTCCAATTTTTCTTTCTTCCTGTTTATAGAGACTTAACTAATAACCGAATAGGCTGCCTGAATGCAGATATATTTAGAGGACTTGTAAACCTTATTAGATTGTAAGTATAATTTGTTGGATATAAATCCACTTAAGTTAACATTAATTAATTAACATATGTGAGTTAACATTCTTTGTTTCTAAGGGAGTTGTTTGCTTAAGTGTGTGCTTGAAAGACAGCTGGGTATGGTTGAGTAGCAAGCTTGAAAAAGGGTGATGGGGCCAACCCAAACCATACCATTCTGTGCTCTGTTGGCCTTGGCAACCATTTATAGAAGGAAAGGGGGAGCAACTAACTGACTGTGTAGAATATTTTCCTTAGAAGAATATTTTAGGGTTATAGAATCTTTCAGTATTCATGCCTTCTACCATGGCTTCAGCATGGGTGTGTTTTGCTGGCTTGCTTGCATGTTTTGTAGTCCTTCATTTACTTTGATAAGATAACGTGTAAGATTATCAATGTTTCTTTGCCCTGGTTTTTAACTTCTTACAGTGTTTTCACTGATATGTAGAAAGTTGTATGTATAATATTTTTTTTAAATATTCTGATAGATTAGACATGTTTCTTAGAGATGTTTGTAGGAACACATCAGTTCATTGTGAACAGAAATTTTTGAACTTCTTGAAAGCTGTGCTCAGAATGTGCTGGTTGTTGCTTTAAATAAAAAATGAAGTATTTACATTTGCTCCTTTTTCACAAATTAAAAAATCTTCAGCTAAAACAGAAGTGCTGGGGAGCAGTTTATTTGGAGATTTTTGCTAGGCTTCTGAGACCTGATTGTTACTCCTACACTGATTGTTACTCCTACAGTCTTGTGAACTGTGACAGTGTCATAGTAGAATCTTGTGGTTTTAAAAAATATTGTTATCTGGAAGAGGGATTTTTCTCTATTTCAAATGTCAGTTGTTTGAGTTCAAAACATGATACTTTTATTTCTCAGGAATCTTTCTGGAAATCTGTTTTCTACACTTACACAGGGAACATTTGATCATCTTGGTTCACTAAAGTCTCTGTAAGTATTTACTGCATCTAATTTTAATTTGCATGGTTATTTGTGTTCTTAACAGAAACCATTTTATATAGATGTGATTTAAGACCTACATTGAAAAACATATAATACTCAAATATTTATGTAAGTGTAAATGTAGAAGTGGTACTACAGTTTTGCATTTTTGCTTTTAATCCTTGTAACAGTGATTTCTTTATCTGAATAAGTACATGGCAAGTGATATTTGGGTGTTTATATGACCTCCTTCAAAAGTTGCTCACTATTTGTTACATACTTCTGATAAAATACAGCTATATCAGCATATGGGTTTCCAAAAGTTTTATCTTGTATGTGTCATTAATTAATTTATAATAAATAAGTAGCATTTTACACCTTTATAGCAAAGGGAACAAATACTTTTAAGGTAGATCTTAGTCCTTGAAGAACAGTATAGTTTTGTTACATGTAACATCAGGTACATCTCAACCTCATGTTGGTTTGCTCTCTTTGTTCCATGAGTTGTAATCTTGTGTAAGAAGGAAGGAAAATGGAAAAAAAATAAGTGCTGATGATTAGCTTGCATTTTTTCCTGCTAGTCATGACAGTTGTCTCACTGCACTGGGACCTTCTCAAAAGCTGTGATTTCTGGCTTTGACACTGAGATAATTTCTTGTTTATAAAGGCAAATTTTTCTTTCCCTCCTCCAGCTTCTTTTAATTGTTCATAAGTTGTTATTCCTGGTATTTTAACATGAAGGTTGCAGACCAAGAACACCAGAGATCTGACAAGAGAACCTGGATATAACAGTTGCCATTAAAAATGTGTGTATCTGGAGGAATTCCTGTGAACAAACACCAAATGGAGTTTCACAGGAATGTTGATTTAGTGTTTGAAGTGTTCTGCATGTGATGTTGTGTTAGCCTCTAGACATTTGCAAAAATAAAAGAAAGTGGTTTTCATTAGAGGTAAAAACCAGTGTAAACATAGCCATATGTTTTAGTACATTTTTAGCTGTTTCTAAGCAGATAAAATGTTCATTTCTAAACAGATAAGATTAATATTAATTAATATCTTAATTTAGCTGACTTCAGCAGAAATCTGTTGGGGAGATTTGGAATGTCTTTTTAGTAGAAAGTATTAAAATATACAGACAACTTTATGAATCAGTTAAGTGTTACGATTTTTATGTAAAGCAGAATAAAGTTGTGTAAACAGTGGTTCTGAAAGGAGAAATAGGTGAGAAGCTGTTCTTATATTTCTGATGATTTTACTGTTAAAGCATTTGGTTGGTAAAACAAAGCAATGAAGTGTGTTCTCAAGTTATGATGGTGCATATTCAAGCAATTCCTTGTTACTGCTCACTTAAATAGTGCAAACACCCTCCATGAAAGAAATAGCTAGACTTTTTTGCGTGTGCTGGTGGTATTAGGTGTTCCTCATATTTATGGAGAGGATTCCTTTTCTCAGGGAGTATGTCCTTTTTTTCTCAGACCAGAGGATTAGACCCTCTTCCAGTAGGTAGAGTTAGGCAGCTCCACTGTATTTTGGAGTTTGACTGCTTTTTGTCTGTCTGTGACAGTGAGAGGCACTGCAGCAGCTGTTGATGTCAAGCCTTCAGACCTTGGAGTTTTGCAGTTTGTCACTGTGAATACCTGTTCTGTGTTGCAGAGAATTTCAGACTGATTATCTCCTTTGTGATTGCAACATACTGTGGATGCATCAATGGTTAAAAGAAAGAAATATAACTGTACGTGAAACTAAATGTGCCTATCCCAAGTCACTTCAGTCACAGATGGTTACTGGTGTTAAACAGGAGCTTCTGACCTGTGGTAAGCACTCCTGACAACTGATACTTGTTTTCTAACACATCCCATGTTCTGTTAATATTAGTGAACAGACATTTTTGCTTTTGTTTTCCTAAGATTCAGCACTTGGGTGACAGTGGTAATAGTGACTCCTTTTCAGAGTCTGATCTTTAGTTGCCATTCAGTGTTCTTTGCTTTTGGAAATAAATAATAAATTTATTGGTGATAGTGGATGTTAGTCTGAAGAAGCAAAGGATGAGTAGCACTCTCTGGAGATAAACTCCTTTTTCCTACTAATACATGGTTTTCAAAGATCTTTATCTAAACTTCACAAGAAGAATCAGAAACTGGTAATTTCTTTCCAAAGTCTAGTGCTCTGGCTTCACATGTGTCAATTATTCCTGCCCCAGATTTCTGAAGATCTTCATTTTATGAGTTACTTTCCTGCATGGTGATTCTGTTCTTGATTAGACTTCTTGTTGTGATGAAACCATGACCAACTTGTTTAACTTCTTTTTTTAATATTAGAATTATTCCATCTGTAAAAATAAACCCCATATGTGCTTAACATTTCAAAGTCTTAGCAGTGGGAAGTTATAAAGACCTAAAATGCAGAAATACATTTTTCCTTCAGATTCATATTTTTCACTCTTTTTTGGGTGTAGCCTAGGAAAGTTTTTGAAATATGTTACATTAAGGGCATACACATTTTGAAAAATACGGTGATAATTGTATTTTTTCAATATCTGATGCATTAAATGTAGCTTTTATATAAATCTTGCAAGATGCAACTTACAAGGAGGTTATATCAATAATTGGTTCTCACCTAGTGCATTTTTCTCCTCTTTTGAAAATTGTGTGTAACAGATTCTTGCTATTAATTGTGGGTTTATTTCTTGAATTCCAGAGCCGCCGCTTGAGTTGCCATCTTTCTACATGACTCCATCTCATCGTCAGGTTGTCTTTGAAGGAGATAGTCTACCCTTCCAGTGTATGGCTTCATACATTGACCAAGACATGCAAGTCTTGTGGTACCAGGATGGGAAGATAGTGGAAACTGATGAGTCCCAGGGTATTTTTGTTGAAAAAAACATGATTCATAACTGCTCGCTGATTGCAAGGTGAATCCATAGTGAGAAAACATATTTCCCACTCGTTCTTTTCTGCTCTGATTTAGTGACTATTTGTATAATCAGTAAGAGCCACTTATATCCTCACTAAGTGAACATATGTAGGCAGAAACATCCCAGATAGGGATATAACCTGTATCTTCATCTTCTCCTAACTATAAAGTTTGAGGAAGAAAGTCTAGAGATTTGATTAGTCAAGCCTACATGCTTAAAATGGGATTAACTAGAGCAGGTTGCCAAGCACTATTGCAGTTGGGTTTTAATTTTCTCCAAGTTTTACCTGATGCAATTCCTGTAAAATACATTTGTGGTATGGATACATTTGTTCTCTTGTACTATTAAAATCGTGGAAGTGTTGAAAAGGCATTTAACCGAACTACTCATGTAGTAGTACTCATGTGCTCATTCCACTAGAGTACTCATGCACTCATTCTTTATTCTTCCTTTTGTGCACACTGCAGTTGGTAATACTGTTATCCAGCAGAGATATGAGTATAATTTATTCTGCCCACAGCAAGTTGTTGACTTATCCAGCATCTACAGAGTGTTTATATATCCTGTAATTGTATTACTAAGTCAGGGCTTCAATATCTATAACAAATTGTGCATTCAGGAATTTAGTTCAGTTTGGCCTTTGTGGACCAACTGAAAAATTTTGTGTTGCAGAGCAATTCTAATGCTTGGGGAATTTGGACTTCTTATCTCTTCTTCCTGAAGTCAAGAGACTTTTTCCCATGGCTGTTCTTTGTCTCTCCTACCTCGGCAAAATGGAGAGCTGGAAGAAACAGCAAACTACATAAAACTTTGAGTGATCTTATAAAACCAGAGGTATTTACTGTAACTAATGTTGGGGTTTGTTTGTTTATTTTTATCTTCCCAGTGCACTGACAATCTCAAACATTCAGGCTGGCTCCACAGGAAACTGGGGTTGCCATGTACAAACCAGGCGTGGGAATAACACAAGGACAGTAGACATTGTGGTGCTAGAAAGTTCTGCACAGTATTGCCCTCCAGAGAGGGTTGTGAACAATAAAGGGGATTTCAGGTTGGTATCCTCAGGTTTTTTTTCAGAGGAAAGAAAAGTCCAATCAATTTTGTTTCTAACTAAGATATTATGCTTTAAAGACACTTAAGTGGTTGTTCACTTGTAAATGGTGTGTAATAGATTTTTAACTCTTCTAAATTACTATGTGTTGACAGAAGGGTATGAAACTATACCATGAAATATTAAAACTCTGAGTTTGTTAACATATCCTTGAAAGATATGGAAAGTAAGCTGTGATATTTGAAATACATAAATGAAATTACTGGAATAGAGTTAATTTTTTCAATTATCTGTACATTACAGTTGGACCACATACTGACAGGGATTTCCGCCAGGTTATCATTCTCTGTAAAATCCTTCTGGTCCCATATGAAAAGTCACTGTATAAGAAATATGCAATATAGTTTGGTTTTCCCCCCTGTGATTATTTAGAGTATATAATATGAATGGTGCTACTTCCTTTTGATGATTGTTGGGACAATAGTGTGCTAGCTCTGATGTTGGGTGTTGCAGAGTGTTGTATCTTTTGTTCTTATCTCTTCACCTGTTTTCCCTTTTCTGATCTTTCTGCTGCTGGTCACTCTAACAACACGTTACTCCTGGAGGTGCCAGCTGTAACAGATAGCTTCTGTATAGATTCTCTATATGTAAGGTAATTCCCTTTATAACTACTCTGTGTTATACCTCCCTGCAGTAGCTCCTCCTGAGAATCAGTGTATGTAATAGCATTGTGTTCACTACGGTGTGTAGGATTTCCTAATGTTGTAAAAACTGCTTTTATCCACTCATTTGTTTTCCCTTTTCTTATGCTGCTTGGCTGTGTTGATCTTCTGCTTGGTCTTTTGTTTACACTTAGAAACTTTTCTTCCTTTCCCTGTGTACGTTAGAATTCTTTAAAGTCATCTTGTTTCTATAGAGCTAATGTAAGGTCATAAATCTGTTATGTTAAGAAATGTAAGTTAAAGCATGTTACTGGGACATAGTTTTTGAGGGGAGAGAAGTTTTCAAGTGCAGAAGACCTTCTCCAGTTGTAGCAAAAATTTAGGTAAAGTCCTGGCTGAGAGTGTTTGTTCCAAGTTCATCTTCTTTATGTTCATCATTTGGATAATTTGAGAAGAAGGGCAGTATGAGCAACTATTAGTAAGGGAAATGGTGTTAAAATCACCTGCTGCACAGAGGCAATTTGGAACTACTGAAGAACTTCTCTTTCACATTGTAAGGAATTATTTATATAAGAAACACTGTGCATATTCTCTTTTTACACTGTGGTGGTTTCAATTGCAGGGATAAGCATTACGTTAGAAAATGAGAACTTCCTGCTTACGATGAAAGGCGAAGAAAGTCAAACAGATGCACGCTGTATTCATCAAAGAACACATCTATTTAAATCACTTATGCATTTTTTTATGATACAAGTGTGAATTGTTCTTCTTTGATTTGCTATTAGAGGTGAAAACAGATGGTAAAGGCTTATTTCAAAGTGGTTTCCATTAAATTAACCTGTGCTGTTCAGTGACTGTTCAGTGTAATAGGATTTACCCCCTCTGGAATTCACTGGAAAGAAATAAGATTTCAGGAAATGTTCAGCTTATCAAAAAGTTCACTGTGTCTGGGTTTACTATAACAGACTTCCACTTGTAGTTTAGGTAGAGTAATACAGAATAATTTTTCACCTTTGAGAGCATATGGAAATAAGGCTTTGACTAGTGAGAAGATGGTTCTGAGCAGATGGCTGTAAATGATCCTAGGTGAATTTGATTTTATAGTTTTTTAGTTGGAACTGGTTACTCATTTTAGCTTGGAAGCTGTTTCAAAACTGGCAGCTAGATTTTTGTCCCTGCAGTGATGGGATAGTGAAGTGTAGCTAAGGAGGATGTTTGTCTTCAGTGTCTTTGGCTCAGTAATAGTTTAGCATAGTTCATAAAGTTTAGGCAAAACTGTCTTCATCATGGAATCTGTTTTGTTAAATTTAGATATTCTTCTAAGTCTTACTCAGGTAATATCCTTCAGTGATTAAATTGAAAGTACAGTTTGTGTGTTAAAATGCTTCTGCTTCAGTAAGTCCTTTAACTGCTGTGTTTAACATAATTTTATGCTGGTAGTTGATAGAATTCTTTCCTCAATATAAGAATTATCCTTTCGAAAACTGTTACTCAGTGCAATATATTTTAAAACTGTAATTATCATGCTGAATTTAGAGAATTACTAAGATGTAATAAAAAAATACTAGACTGTAAGCTAATGAAATTATGATATAAAAACTCATTGTAACTGAAAGTTATTGTTCGTTTAAAGAAATGAATGCTTTCAAAACAGAATTAATATGTATGAAGGAGAGGATTCATTTATAATCTCATGGTCTGGTTTTTTTTCCCCATGAAATGAAATTAAAGTACTTAAACGTAAATGAACCATCCTTACCCCCACAGCTGTCGACTCTCATGTATATGTGATAAATTTTGAGCACCTAATTATAAAGAGTAATGAAATAAGAGTGTTAATACAGTCCAAATTTGCACTTCTGCTAGCAGTTGGGTAAATTGTGAAAGATACTAAAGCTTAGACTCACAAGAAATTAAGAATGCAGCCAAACTTACCTAGCCTGTGTTTTTGTGGTGACAATTTCATGTCATTGATAACCTTTTGAGTCCTGCTGGAGGGATGTCCTCTCTGGCCTCATGGGAAGTGGAGAATACCTCCTCATCTCATACAGGTGTTGGGAGGAAACAGTTCATGACTGAGAATGGTCCTGCTTAAAGTCATTTAGCAAAAATAGGAAATAAGGGAAGCATAGGTAAAGGTAGAATCAGTTCCCCCATCTCATTCACCTCTGGGCTGTAAAGAAACTTGTACCCACACAAGGAGTGTTGTGAATGGGAGAGAAAAGAGGATAAGGACACTGTTCCTCCCAAAGTATTTCTCTTTGTGACACTGTGCATTTGTGTTGATGATGTGTATGGAGATTATAGCAGTAAGCTGTGAGTTTTAAATTGCCCACCTTTTATGTCTGACTTAGTAGAAAGCTTTCTAAATCATTAAACAAATAATACATTAGTTTGAAGAATAAAATGTAGATATCTCAATTTGTTATAAAGGTAGCACAGACTATAAGACTATGGCATTGCTTGTATTCTTTTCAGAGGATCATGGCAAAAGATGATAAAATGCTGTGTAGGAGGATGAATGCAAGGTAAACTCAGCAGGATAACAAAAGAGAAAGGGGATTAAAAAGGAAAGGTGGAGATGAGAACTGGAAGAAAAGGCAAATAATCTTGTGATAATCTACTACTTTGAAGTTGTGTTAAACACTGAAACTCTCGATCTTTTTTTTTCCTATTTGATGGCTACGGACGTTCCAGAAGATATAGATAGCTTAGAAATTATACTTGTTTAAAAACATAGTAATTAAAGCTCAGAAAGGGGATTAAAAAGGAAAGGTGGAGATGAGAACTGGAAGAAAAGGCAAATAATCTTGTGATAATCTACTACTTTGAAGTTGTGTTAAACACTGAAACTCTCGATCTTTTTTTTTCCTATTTGATGGCTACGGACGTTCCAGAAGATATAGATAGCTTAGAAATTATACTTGTTTAAAAACATAGTAATTAAAGCTCCTCTGAAAAACTTGTTTTTCATTTGAGTCCTTGTCTCTTCTTTAGCAGTAGATGTGAGTAGTGAGGAAAGGAACAGCATGTGCCATTTTTCAGTGAAAATATTTGTCTTGGAGCTTGTGTCATACAACATCTGTCAGGACCACAGAATTTAAATTATCCTAAGGCCATGTGGCACTCAGTCTGTAAGGCGATACATTCAGTCAAAACTGAGCCGACCACACTGTAACTGAAAATGCTTTGGAAAAATACAACTTTTAGAAAACCATCTGTAAAGACAGAGACAAATATCCCTTTCAAAGTGGCATCTTTGATGTGGAAACTTAATACAAAAATTTCAGTGTTGATAAATGGTTTTGGAAATGATGTTTTGGCACTCCAGTGACAGTGTTTCTGGAAACCCAGCTCTGCATTCTGGAAGCAGAGGTTTGGGTGTATTATGCAAGGTATTTGTGGGCCTGCATGTCTTCTAACAGCTGTGCCAGCTGATTTATTAGTTGTCCTCATCTGCCTGTTTTCTTTTTGGCTTCCTTCTCTGAAGGCTTATTACGGATACATATGTATTGGGATAAAATACCTCTGTATAACTCTAGGCATTTAAAGCCTGTGCTAATTATTATAAGTCTTTTTCTTTCTACTTTTGACTACCTTCATTCCCACCATATCTGGTACAAGTTTTCCTTTCTCATAATGGTTGAATGGTGACACTTGTCTTATTTACTTGATTGGACTGCTGAGGCTCTGAATGTAAGTGTGTGTATATTTAACAGGCTGGATGAAGCTCTGCTAAAATGCCCAAATAATCTTCTGTCTCTTCTAGTATTTAAGTACTCTGGTGATAGTTATAGTAACAAGCCTCCATTTCTTAACTAAATTATATCACTACAAAGTAGAGAACTGATCTAATGGCAAAGCTGTTGCAAAAGGTGGTTAAACTTAAGTCCTTGTTTTCTGATGTAATTTGTTTTATTTATCATCTAGTCTTTTCCATTAGGTTTCTTGCTGAGTTTGAGCACTTTTATGGTTGTTGCCATGACCTGTGCAATTTAGGGGTGCCAGCAGCAGCTGTCTTTCTGTTGGCTGTTGCCCAAACCTAAGTAATAGTCAAAATGGTCAAAGGTCTTTCTTCCATGAACATGCTAAAATTGGTCTGTTGGAGCTGATAAATGGGCATTTGAGACAGAGAAGAATTTCAGTATACCTCAAAAGATTGATCTGCCCTGTCATTTAATATGATTGAGAAGTGTAGCCTTTAGCCTGGGTCCATCCCTGAAGTTAAGTCTCTTGTCTGAAGGAGAACTGTGATAGATCATATTGTCTTCAGTAAGAGGAGTTATTTAACTCATGAATAAGGAGGCAAAATGGAGGTGGCTTGCTCAGTTTCTCTGTTTTGGCAATATTACTAAAATTTTTAATTTTCTGGAAATGGAGCACCATTCAAGGGTTTACTTTATCCTCCTGCACACACATTTTTTGGTAGTTTTTTTTTGTCAAAGATAGTTATGTTCTGAGCATTTCTGAAATGTAGATGACAGTAGTGAATAAATGGCCATTTACTGAAATGCAGTCCAGATATAAAAGCAAACTTTAAATCACAGTGTAAACCACCAGAAATTTTTTTGTTCCACCAGTTCAAATTTTGGACACAACTGCATTGTGCAAGGCCCATCGAAATATTTAAAACTGCAAAAAAGTATGTTAACTGTTAAGGCTGTTCAAGGAGCTTGATTTAATTATGGTACAGAAAGCCTGGGGTGATCAAATGAAGCTCTCTTGCTCTCAGTTTTAGTTAAACCTTAAATGTTGAGTTGTTGGATTTGAGATACAGGGGAGAGGGCCAGAAGCAGGGGCAGGCAGACTGGCTGCCATTCCTTGTCCCTGTCCTCTCCTCTCAGCATTGCAGCTTCATTCAGCATGGTTTCTCTGCTCTTACTTTTCCTTGAATCAGTTCTGTTCTCATGTATGATCAGTGCAATTTAATTTTCTGTATTTATTCTTTATTCCTTTTTTGTTTGTATATATGCTTATACTGATAAACTACACAGTAAAATTAGAGGAGAAAGTGGAGACAATGTTAGAAATTTTCTTAAGTGCTTAGTTCCACATACCTTGAGTGAAAGGAATTATTTTGTATTTTGTACTTAACATTATAAACAAAATTTTTTCCATTAATTTCTGTTTGGCATTTTGTTTGTAAAATGGGTCAGTGTGATTGTACACTTTCTTAATTAGTGTAAATGTGGACTTCTGTTCATCTCTGCAGTTTGGTACTGATATGAATGCAGTTGTTTGAACGTTACATTGATGCATGTGAAGAAGACAAATAGAAAACCAGTGCTCAGCTTGTTTTTATATTGTTAACAGGGAATTTTTCACGAAGTAAACTATTTTTAGTCATTTTATAAGCACCTCTTTCTTTCCACCTGAAACCTCATGAAAGAATTCAAAAAAGCATGCAAGCATTAGAACTCGTTTTGTTAATAGTACACAAATCTGAACAGCTTGAAAATACTGAAGATGAGCCAAGGTGGCCCTTTAAATAGTTTAGGGATGCTTAGTTTTGAGTGTCTCTTCATTTCATGTTGTAGTGCTTAATCCTTTTATTATTTACTTGTCATGTAAATTTGTCTAAATGGGTTTTTTTATTTTCTTTTGACTCCCCAGGTGGCCCAGAACATTGGCAGGCATCACAGCATACCTGCTGTGTACACGTTACTCTGCTGGCAGTGGGATATATCCTGGCAACTCACAAGATGAGAGAAGAGCCTGGCGCAGATGCGACAGGGGAGGGTACTGGGCAGATGAGGACTACTCCAGGTGCCAATATGCAAATGATGTGACTCGAGTTCTTTATATGTTCAATCAGGTAATTTGTGCATTTCTGTAAAATCAAATTAGGCAAATCAAATTAATGAAAATAAAAACTCAAAAGACTCTTCATCTTTTTGAAGCTGGTAATACTGGTGGCCTAGATGAATTATGATGAACACATTCTTCTTTCTGAGTGGCAAGACTGAAACTTGTAGGTTTATGTTAAGAGCTTGGTTTAGTATCTATTTGGAGTGCCCCAGATTGAAAGTGCAAGGAAAATTTTATTCTTTGTGCTTGTGTTGAAGCGTAAGAGAATGGTGCTTGTCATGATTATTTTTGTCAGCTGAATGCCCTGTCCTGCCCACACGCTATAAAGAAGCAAAGCAGGCTCAAGCTATAATGGAGAACAGCTCTTTTCATTATAATAGAGTAGTCAAACTCTGCTCTGCTTTTGATCCTGTAAACCTCTAGTAGATTTGGTGTGACTGATGAGAGTTAACTAGTGAAAGTAGTGAGGATTAAGTAGGCTTCTTTAATCTGGTAGTACTTACCAGGATAAAAGAGAGTATTCTAGAATTTAAATGTAGCTATGAAATAATATTTTTCGACTCCAAGCTCGTTTTGAAGCTTATCTAGTTAATGCACACTTTCACAAACACTGTTCTACAGTGATATACCCAACCTTGTATGTATAGATGCTGTTTTGTTTCTTCATAAAGCTTTGAACCTCTGGTTTAAGCTTATTTTCCAGCATGTGTTGTCATATCACAAGTAGCAATGCAACAGGTGGAGCTATGAAGACATGACTGTGTTTTGGTGTGGTGATTTACAGTGTGGTTGTTGGGGGGTTTTCTTTATTTTTAATAATACAGCTCAGTCACTGGAGCTGATGATTCTGGTAGCACCAGCCGTGTTAAACATGGGCCATGGTGCTTGTCTGACTCCAGGGTTGGATTTCTGTGTTGAATGGGTTCAGAGTGTTTGTGAGCTCACATTATTTTAGAGAAGACTTCACACTGCTTATCTGAAGCACCACAGCCCCTAACTGGGACATTCAGGATCTAAACTGATATTTTCCCCTTTGGATGTCTTAGATTTATATATATAGAGAAGTCTTGATGCCCAGTGGCTTGGGCTAAATCCAGTTTGAGACAAAAGCATAGAACTGCATGTTGTGTAGATGCGTTGTTGCTGACTCGCTCCCTCTGCCTTAAGTTACTTACTGATGCAGACATAGCTTTTTATCTTCCTGCTCTGATTCCCTAAGGACCCATGAACATTGGTGTAAGAAAGATGGCAAGGGTTGGGGGGAGAAAAGAGGAATGCCTGTTCTGGCCCAAGATAAACTTAGGGGTTGACATAACTATTTCTGCTTTACTGCTTTATATTCCTAGCACTAGAGGTGCATGTCATGGCTTGGTCACAAATATATTTGAGGGCTGAAATGAGGGGTGGTGTTGCTTAAGGGAAGAAAGAAGTAAGAAAGATGGCAAGGGTGGGGGGGAGAAAAGAGGAATGCCTGTTCTGGCCCAAGATAAACTTAGGGGTTGACATAACTATTTCTGCTTTACTGCTTTATATTCCTAGCACTAGAGGTGCATGTCATGGCTTGGTCACAAATATATTTGAGGGCTGAAATGAGGGGTGGTGTTGCTTAAGGACTGGGTAGCAGGTGAGAAATGATGCTGGGGATCACGTTTTTGTCCCTCTGTTGGTCTCAGCAAGGTTGAGTGTTTGCTTATTTAGAACTTTGATGCTGCTGGTTTGCTATTTGGGTTTTTTTCTCACCTAGGAATTCACACTTCCCTGCAAGGCCTGTGACAGCTCAGTGCTACTCCTTCCTAGGTCCTATAGCCCAACTTTAGAGCTGCAACTGTTCAAGAGTCTAGATTACTTAAGCCTGTTATAACTGCTTTTGGTTAGCCAGTGTTTTTCAGGCTGTGGAAGAATGTTGCCAACTTCGAGTTAGGAAGTTTAAAATGTGGGATTCAAATTGGTATCTTCACAAAAGCAGAACTATAATTTCTCTGTGTGGAGTAGATAACTTCCCATTGTCTCCTTAAAAATACATGTACACAGATATGCTGTGCTGAAACAGATTTCAAATTATTTTTTTTAAAGGGAGAAACAACATATTTTGGTTTTAGTAGTTTTTACTCATTAGACCTGCTTTTGTGTAGTAGGCCTGGATTTTTTAGCAATATTCTACCCAGAAAAATATTGTCTCTGAGAATAATATTAAATGTAATCATAATATAAGCATCCTTGGAGCCTTTGAAGGTAGTTGAGCTGTTTTGAACATTAGAACTTTGCCAAGCTTTTTAAATCAAGTCAAGGTCTAAGCTTAAAATTGAATGAAACCTTTGTAACATTTGTGCAAGAACACTTATATTTCACTGTTCAAAGAAATTACACAGAATGTCTGAATTTAAAACTTGACATTGTTCGGTGTGTTGTGACTTTGAAATTTATTGCATGACTTTCAGCATATTGAAAAAAGTTACCTTCCATTAGCTGCATTCAAATCTGTATACAAGTACTAAGATTGGCAGGGACAAACATATAATTGTGCTTATGTAGCACATTGCAAATTCATGAGGCAGACTAGATGTCTGTACATCAAAAACTAGAGATAGAACCTCTCTAGTTTGGATTATCACAGGGAAACAACATCTGAAAATGAGCTGATAACATTTGCACAGCTTTCCTCTGTGCTATGTAAAATTTCCCATTTTAGGTCCCTGCTAGCTCAGGCATGTTGATGTTGTGTATCATTTAGTGAAGAATTTTCCAGCATGGGGCTTGTTTCAGGAATGAAATCATGAGCTTTGTCATAGAGAGATCTGTCTTGGTTTTTGTGTGTGTATTCCATTCCAAATGCTTTCTGTAATTACAGGATTGAGAGTGAATGCTACAGCAATGTGCTTGAATTTGTTTTGGCTTCTCTTGCTATAAAATGCTGTATTTTAGGAGCTTTCTGTTGTCATGCCTAGGCTTTGGTGAAAATGAAAATAAGCATTTGAAGTCACTGTTTGGGGGAGGAGGGGGTTCTCTTTTTTTGATGCAACTCCTAGGACAACAGTACAAAACCCAGTTTCTGTCCAGAAGTAGAAATGCTCTTTCTCTGGCTTGTAGGAAATGTCTTTGCTTAGAAATAAGGTGGTAGTCCTTGGCTACTTAAAAATACTGTGTTCTCTGTGGGAATTGCTCTTCATTTTGCAGAATGCTTATTTATTGATTGATGAAGTGTTGTCTCTATCTTGTACTTACGTTTCAGTTCTTCAAAACACTCATGTTTGTTCTCTATGTAGATGCCGCTCAACCTTACTAATGCAGTGGCAACAGCAAGACAGCTCTTGGCTTACACCGTTGAAGCAGCAAATTTTTCTGATAAGATGGATGTTATTTTTGTGGCTGAAATGATAGAGAAATTTGGAAGATTTGCTGAAAAATATAAAGAGGTAACTTGGATAATTTGCCATCACTTTAGTGATAATCAAAGTGCTTGTCCTTAAGTATTCTGAGCAGTGAAACCTTCCCAACATTAGATGCAGACACTGAGTTAGTGGATTATCAGATTCTATTCCATGTTTTTGTTTGTTTAGTAGGTCCCTGAAGTTGCTGACCCATGGTCACAGACTTTGCATTCGCGCTGAGATGATCCAGCATTCACTGGACCTGTAATGTGAGTAACACCTCTGGTCAGCACTGGAGCAGGGAGATAGGTACAGTAAGTCTGTTTTTATTTAATATGGAGTGGGTCACACAGGTTTTCATTGGTATGTTCTTATCCAAAAGTACAAATAATGAAAGCCTCAGAGATCCTCTCAATAATGAATAAAACAAGACTTATGTTCTCCCCTTCCACCATGGTAGGCTGTCTTGATTCAATATTGAGCTGTATCTCTAAGGTTTTCAGTAGTCCTCTATTTTGCCAGATAGAAGATAAAACATTCAAATAAAATCTTAGAGAACGCTCATCGTTGGGGAGAAAAATGCAAGTAGTTTAATAGTCCCACCAGTGGGTAGGAACTCTCTGTTTCACTGCTGAACAGAGGTTATATTGATCTCACTATACAGTGCATGTTGGGAAGTTGGAAACCACAATGACTCAATTTTATACTTACAAAAAAAGCCAAATTTTCCCCATCCACCCCTTGGCAAACCATAAATGCTGGTTCTACATCCTTTGCAGAACTCATTGGAGATTTTTTAGGCTAAATCTCCTTTTTACAATCAGAGCTTGGATCTCTTTTGTGTATCTTGGAATTACACACACTTCATTAAATGACTAGGGTTTTTTACCTAGTCAAAAATAGAAATGTTTTAGATTGCTGCATGATTTATTACATTATAAGGATATTTGTTTCTCAGCTGTGAATTGTTGTCTGTGGAGTGGCATAATCTGGCATTACTTTGCCATGTTTCAAGGTAATAGATAGCATGAAAAAATAAAGTTAAATTCATAGGTGGTTTTGGTCTTAGACAATCTTAATTGGTTTGATTTGAAGTCAAACTTTGATTTGCTGGTATATTCAAGGAACAAGAGTGTAGTTTCATGTAATAATTTTAATAGCTCTTGATAAGACTGATTTCTTACCATGAACTTATTCTTGACACCATTATTCATATTCATTCATTTATACCATCTTATTGTTAGTTTCTTAGTTTGTCTTGCAATGGCTATTCTGACAGATAAATACTATAAATTATAAAAAGCATAATTTAATAGCTCTTTCATATCAGAAGAAACAAGACAAATAAGTGTTCAGGAAGTTCTTAGCAGATTGTCTTAGGTTGGAGTACAGTTGGAAAAACTTGTGCATCCCTTGATAAGCAGGAGAAAGAATAATGTGTAATATTTTAAAAGTATGAAACAACTTGAGTTCTGAGAGTTCAGGCTCTTAATACTGATAGTTTATTGTGAAATCACAATTTGTTGATGTATAAAACTTGTTTTCATTTTTCAAGTAGCAGTAAGTCATAATAAGCACCTTCAATTAATTTAACTTTGTTTTGTTCTTGAGAATTTAATGAAAAGGGCTACAGCCTGCAAGTGCTAGAGGCACTGTGTTAGTTGTTTAGAGATTTTGCTGATTGTAACTTCTATCCCTTAGAGAGACAGTTCTCAAAATAGTAAATATTTTTATATTCCAATTCTTGATGTTATTTTTAGAGATTCAAAAAAAGAACAACAAACTACTGTGTTCTCTCCTTATTAGTAATGCTCCCAAAAGAAATTGGGAAGCCTGGATGGTAAAGGACATGTCTTCCACACCCTACACTGTCTCTCCTCAAGCAGAAAATTCCAGTCCCTAAATTTAGGCACTGTGAATTGCATTTCAGTCAATTCAACTAGAAAATACACTCACCTTTGCTTTTGATCCAATATTTGTCACTGTTCTTTAAACGTTGTGAAAATGCAGAGTAGGTTAATGTTGTCAGTGTAGGTGCTCATTAATTTTGGCAGAGTCATGGCCTAAATAAATTAGTTCCCTTTATAGTTTGTTTGTCATACAGAAGGCAGGGTGAGGATTGTGAGCATAAACTTAAACCAATGTAATTGGTGATTTGAAAGCAGCTCTGGTACTTAGGGGTATTTGCTCTCTCTCTTTCATGCATGCCTGTGACCTAACATAGGTCATGCAAAATTGAAGGCAAGCAAGAAAGCAATCCAAAAAAGTTAGACATGACAAAAGGAAATGAAGCAGAAGGGTTGTGTGCTAATTTTTGCCTGTATTACTTTTTTCTTATTATCTTCCATCATACATGCAAACTATTGTTGATTCAAAGTTTATTTTAGGTTTCAAGTTGATTGTAAATAGTCATTTAAAACAATTACTGTAGTAGAATGTGGAGTATTAAACTCTTTACTTTTAATGAAATATCTGTACTTATCTTTTTTTCTAAGCAAATATAAACAGAAAAATTACATTGACATAACATTTTTCTTCGATGGAGGTGAATGTCTGAGTCAAAGTATTTCAGTATCTCAGTCACTCAAGAGGTGATTGAAATAGGAACAACCAGTTTTGCTTTTTGTCCTGACAAGTTCTGTTGTATTTTCTGATAATGATCCTACTTGATGAATGCTTTCAAAGCTATGAAAGTCTTACTTCTCTTCCATGTTAGCTCGGTGATGTGATGGTGGACATAGCGAGTAACATTATGTTAGCTGATGAACGTGTTCTGTGGATGGCACAAAGGGAGGCCAAGGCCTGCACCAGAATTGTACAGTGTCTACAGAAAATTGCTATGTATCGCCTTGCAAATGGAGCTCAAGTTTATTCTACTGTAAGTATGAATTTATTTATTTATAAGACATTTTGCTGGCTCTTGAGTTTGAATAGCTTTTTATTTTTCATAATAGATGCTGGCATTATCTGAAATGCCTAGTCTTTCTGTAGGGAGAAGAGCAATACTCTGAGCAGATTTATCCCTGCCAGATAAACAGAAATGGTTTTCTGGATGTTTTTTTTTCTGTGAAGGCAGAGAATCCCTTTAAGATTATTTATTATCCTTTCTGTGGTGTGTAAAATTATGTAATGTTTGATTTTTGTTGTCACAGTACTCTCCAAATATTGCTCTGGAGGCCTATGTGATAAAGGCTGCTGGCTTCACTGGGATGACATGCACAGTGTTTCAGAAAGTGGCTGCGTCAGACCGTACAGGACTCAGCGATTATGGGAGAAGAGATCCAGATGGAAATCTAGATAAACAATTGAGCTTTAAGTGCAATGTTTCAAATACCCTGTCAAGTCTGGCTTTAAAGGTCAGATACTCTTTGTTTCCCTACTGACTTTGTAATAATACCTTAAGTATGAATCCTTTGGAAATTAAGTTTATTATTATTATTATTAATTTCTATGTTGAAGTAGCATTTTTATGTAATCCAGAGTGACTGTGTCAGGAATTGGAGACAAAGTATAATAAAGTCTGATTATGAAATAGCTTTTTTAATGGACACAACATTTAATAAGTAGGTGTGGTTTTCTTTATTGAAAGTTCTGAAGTTGAAAGATTTTTTCAGACCTTTTCATAAGTGTGGAAATGGAAACATTCCCTAGTTCATAATAATTATTTATTTTCTTCTATTTTTGCCTTCGTTACGTGTTAAAACAGATATTACTAGTCTCCTTAAATATCTGAAATACTCTGCTCATAGCAATATTGTAATTAAGCAGAAAATAGAAAATGGACCCAGAAGGTTAATGTTACTTTTGTTTGTGCATGTACATATAACACACATAAACATATATATATATTTAGGTGTGTATAAAAATGGAAACACTTCCTCATATTCTGTGAAAGTTTTTTTTTTTTCAGTTACGTACCCCAACGTACCAGTTTGCTTTTATGACTTAATTTGCTTGAAGATCACTTCAGTGTATATAATATAAATTATGCTTCTGTAATTCTATGAAATTCCAAGCATTCTTCTCTGCCCAGCCATAATTTATATACAAGTTCAAAACCCCTGTTTGTGTACAGCATTTCATTTTGAATGGTGCTATTGCACAATTACAGCAGTTCTGCCTGCTTGTCTTGGTTGCTGCTTCTAGTTGCCAATAGTCTAATCTGGAAAACTCTTGTAATATTTTACTGCTACCGACTTCAACTTTACTCTCTGTAACAAGTAAGGTAACTGCAGAATCTTAACCTTTTGGGTTTCTGTTATTTTTTTAAAAAGTTGTAAGACTTTAATCATCTGATTAAACTATTTTATCCCAAATTACTTGGAAACATGTCAAATAGGTTTGTCTTGATATAGTCTGCTAACACATTCATCTCTGACACTGCTCAGTTAGAGGAGTTACTAATTTAATCTCTAAAGAATTTCATTTTCTCTCTTTAAAGCTTTCAAAATCTGTTTATTTCTAGAACACAATTGTAGAGGCTTCTATCCAGTTGCCAGCTTCCCTCTTCACCCAGAAACAGAAAAGAGAAATCAGACCAGCAGATGAATCTGTCTACAAGCTTCAGCTTATTGCATTTCGCAATGGAAAGCTTTTCCCAGCAACAGGAAATTCAACCCATCTGGCTGACGATGGGAAACGTCGTACAGTCGTGACACCAGTTATTCTTACCAAGATAGGTTTGTTTCTATTATTACTCTTTGGGGATCTCAAAGAAACATTTTTGACTCCTTTATTTTGACCAGTGGGCATCTAATAAAAGGTTTTAGCATCGAATGTGTTGCATGTCGAGAAATTTATGTGCAAATACATTTCCTTTGTAACAGATGGTTTAAACCTAGCCAGTCACCATGTTCCTATAAACGTGACACTGCGGCGCATTGCGCACGGAGCAGATGCTGTTGCAGCTCAGTGGGACTTCGATCTGCTCAACGGACAAGGGGGATGGAAATCTGATGGTTGTCGCATCCTTCTGTCTGATGAAAATATCACTACCATTCAGTGCTACTCCCTCAGCAACTATGCTGTTTTAATGGTATGTCACTTAGAAATATTATGTCTCTCTAGAACTTTCTGTTCAAAATACATTTCTGTTTGGGTTTTTTTCTTCTGTTAAAGAAAATGAGCATTCCCACATTTCATGTAAAACTAGACAGAATAAGTAAATTTGTAGTTTTTGCTTAGGTCAATATAAATGTTGAGGTAAGATGATGTTTAGTGGAAATCTGTTAAAGTGGAATTAATTACTGAATATGCTACACACAAGAATTAATAGATGCAACGTATTATATTATAGAAAGGCATTTTTATGAGGTAAATCCATGTGCTTTTATGAACTTTAGTCTAATGATGACTGTTTTCTGCAACTGTTACCTTTATTTTAAACTAGCTTCTCGGATTTGTTGACTTTGTCCGTTGACAGGATTGTTTTCCCAGGTATATTTTTTTCTGTGATCTGTAACCAACAATAGCTATTTCATTGCAAATTAGGTGTTCATTCACTAGTATGTAGGTCTGTTACCAGAACACATCAGAAGAATCCAAACAC